TCATATAGAAACCTATTCTCAAACTATATGATTGTAAGCCAAAACTCAGCCACAACTCAGGAGTCAGATTTTTGTCGAAACACACACACACAAAGTGGGACTCTTGTTTGGCCCCACCGCCGCCGAAGGAATAGAGAGCGAGGAAGAAAAGTGAAGCAGCTCGAGCTCGAACAGAGAGCATGGCAGAAGATAACAGCAACGCCGGGAAGACAGAGGTCTCTCTGTCTCAGTGCGAATAAACTATTCAACACTGCTGGAATGAGAGCAGAAATTGCTAAAGGACTCATTCACAGTTTAACTGCATCAACAACAAAAGAAGTTAAAAGAGAATTGGGGAGAGTTTGCACAGTTTCATTGTTGGGTAACTTTTTTTTATTTATTTATTTATTTTTTATTCCTGTCCCTGTTTCACTATTTGTTGCAGTGCTGTGCAGAACTGTACCACATTTAAGCCTGCATCCCACTTCATGCCTCACATGAGATTAAGTGTAATGTGTAAATATTAAAACTGCAGACTGAGTCAGACTTGAGGGAAAGACGCACATCACGATTACAGTGTTGATTATGATTTGGCGTCATGACTGATTGGACCAAGTTGGACTGAGTCCATCACAGTCTGGGCCAGTTGGTGCTCACAGTTGGGATGTAAAATAATATATTGTGTGATTATAATTACTGTCCTTCTTATCAAGTCTCTGCTCGTAGTTAAAAATATAATTTTAGACATGATTTTTATTTATTTTTTTACAACAAACAAATTAAAAGCAAGCCAAGAAAATGGTAAAACAGTGTGGTACTACGAGTGAAAATTAATTTTTAATCCATCATCAGGTTTCATTGCAGGTTTCATCACATTCTCATAAAGCTCTCTGTCCTTGAGCTGTCTCTGCAGAGTCCTATTTCCCACCCATCCACCATTGCATCCAAATCTCTCCTTTTCCGTGTGTCTCTGCCTTTTCATCACAAAAATGAGCAAGACAAACTGTTCTTGATGTGCATATCTGTCTCGGTAAAGGAACAAGGGTTTGTGGGGGTTTGCCAGTGCCCTAACTCTAAATATTGCATACCTGTGAGAAAAATCTCGATCGGGCAATGTGCTCCGCCCGCCCACGGCTGCTTGCTCCAGGTTGACAGCTGAAAGAGCAGCGCATATCAAAAATGGTTAGTGGGGGGAGAAACCTCAGAGAGACTCAGCCACATGGTTGAGCCTCAGTCAGACCCAGACTCAGATGAAGGATCTGTTGTGACTAAAATAAGAGACAAGCAGACATATCAGAACGGTTAGCATTATGTTGTTTGTTAGCTTGTAAACGACAGTGGGCTGACACAGTGTTAGTGGCTGTGTTAATGCAAACTCTTGCTCTCTGTACTGGCAAAGTTTCTGTGACCAGTGAAAGAGCAGTGTGTATTAAGATGGTTAGTGTTAGTGGAAACATCAGAGAGAGACTCAGCTAAATGTCTGAGCCTCAGTCAGACCCAGACTCAGACGAGGAGTCTGTTGAGAGCCCAAATCGGCGACTAGCATATGAACAAAAGGAAATATGAAAAACGGTTAGTGCAGTTAGCATCTTCTGTTTCTCTGTGTCGTTTGTTAGCTTGTAACTGGCAGTGGCTGACACCGTGTTAGTGGCTGTGCTCATGCAAACTCTCGCTGTCTGTACTTACAAGATTTCGGGTGTATTTTGCTGTATTTGTGTGTAGGAATAGTTAAGATCCTTGTAGGTTTTAATAATTCTAAGATCTCTTCCGAGTGTCAAAAATCAGGATTTGAGACTTGACTGCTCTAGACTCAGTTCAACATTTTTAATGATGTAAAATCATTAAATGGCTTCAAAAGAAAAATGTTCAAAAACTGCAAAAGGTCTCAAAACTTGGACCAAGACCTTGCATTTTGGATTTCGGACTTGACACGAAACCTGCTCTGATAGACTTGAGACTTAAACTGGATCTGTCTAAAGGGACTCATGTTGTCTCAAAAAAAAGGAGATGTCACACAGAAGGTGTGCCTTAAAAAAACAAACAAAAAAAACAAAACGATAAAAACTGCACATGTGATCATTATAATCCAGTCCTCTTTCAATTAAAATCACACAAACACATAAAAATAGGATAAATCAAAATGTGCACACACTCCCACACACACTGGGGTTAGACAGGTCGAAGCTGGGGGGCAATGACAGTAATGTCAAACTGAAATCAATCTCCAAATTGCCTGCTCATCCCATCTTATTAAAACCACTAAATTAAAGTCTGTCGGCGTGCTTAACGCTCATTAATTAACCCTTATGTCTGCGTCTTTCTGTGGCTGAGTGGATAACAGTATTTAACATTTTATCTATCTGTTTTGTCTCTCCATCCACCTCCAGCTGTTGTGTTCTCTTCCCCCATTCTGTCGAGCGTGTTGTCTGAGAGTAATGATTTTTGAAACCCACACACATGCGCACACACCCACACACACAGTCATATGGCTGAGTTAACTTGACAGATTGTCATCACAATACTGTAATGGGACTCAAACTCCCTACACCCCAACACACACAAACACACACACACATACACACACACACACACACACACACACACACACACATACACACATAGCAAAGGAGTATGTCACTGCGGGGGAAGATGATCGACAGGACTCAGGATGGTGATGGAGACTAATGTGAGCCCTGGACAGCAGTGTGAACAGCAGGTAGTCTGATAAAACACGGCAACTGCGACGTTTTTATATTAGCAGCTAAAGTCTCTGTGTGTATGTGTGTGTATGTTTGAGTGCATCCCTCCCTTGATTTCCGTGTGAATATAACTCTGAATAGATCTGTTGCAATGTTACAGTGAAGGAAGTGTTGGAGTATGATGATTACACTTTTGAAAACAGCAGCACAGCAATAATTCGCTGAGTTAAAGGGATGAATTCACAATTAGTCGTAACTTTTATACCAGTTTGGTTAAGCACTTGCAGCATGCAAGACTTTTTTTTTTTTTTAATATCAGAATATCTCTGTAAATCACAAAGTGAGACTGCAATAAAAATGTGTAACATTACTTACCAAGCCTGCAAAACTTTTTATCTTTTAATCCAAATTAAGTTTCTCCGTTAAATATGAAAATCCCACTCGCATGAAGTGATGAATAATAACAAAAGGGAAATTCTGTCTTCAAAAGAAAAAAAAAAGGAGCTAAATTGTTCTGTCTCTCCAAAGGAAGATCACAGTGCATTTAACTTAAAACTACAGCGAATTTCTTTTATTTAATGACTTTTTTTTTTTCCCCCACCAGCCCCAGTGTTACAGAGTGCAGGGCTTTAATTGATCAATCTTCCATTTAGTGTTACAAATCATTAATTAATCATCAAGTCTATCTATCTATCTAAAATGAGTGAAACCTGTCCATTCAGAGTTAATTCAGTGAACGTTTTGTAATCCGAATGGTCTCGATGAAGACATTGTCTGAGGTGCAGGTGCGTTGGAAAGTGTCACTTCAGTCTGGAAAAGAAGAATATCCCCCCTGCACACTGCTCTTGCTCAGCATCACGATTTATTGATCATCCTAACGTTTCGGTCTCTCTAGAGCTTCGCCAGATATATTTTAAACAGTTCTTACAAGAATTATCTTGAAAAGATAATGATCCACCCATCTTGTGTGCCCAGGTGTGTGACAGTTATTCTCTGGTGGGAGTGTCTTTCTTCAATCATTGACAGTGATTTGTGAATAATCTGTGATGTTATATTCTATATATATATATATACAGTATATATGTGAAGAGAAAATTTATAGATATAGATAAACAAAAAAACAAGTGAGACATCACAATATATAATCAAATCTTACAAAATTGTGAGAGATTACAATCTATTGAATGAAAACATCGGCTTTGCAGCTTTCATTCAAAGTATGTAATCATATGAACTATTAGTATCTTGAGAGTGCCATAGATAGATCTATAAAGTCCCTGAATTTGTTAGAGCATGACATGGCATGGGATCTCATCATTCAGTCCTTTGGGGGATAACGTTTGCAGGGTGATGAAATTCTTAATAGAAGAGAAGAATACTGGATATTCATTCTTATTACCTCTCTCAGGTAGAGTTCCAATGGTCTAAAATCACTTTCCTCCTGTGGTGTAAAATCTATTATTAAAATGTTCATCTTGTTTTGGCTTAAACAAGGTTGATGGTTGAGAACTGCTATTAACCAGTCTTACTGGAGTCAACATAATAGTAGTTTTTTTTTTGCTGCATCCCAGGTGTGTAGGGAATCCTCCCAGCATGCACCAGGGTATCAAACTAAAACACCTGATTGTTTTGTGTTCTCCTATTGGTTACTGGTGTTATTCATTGTTTCCTATAATGTTTCCACATTTCCACTTTTGTCAGACACATAATTATTGTCACAGACTGATGTTGTGTGTATGATCTGAGCTCCTCTAATCCACATAATGATGTATTTAAGCAGAGACCGGTTTTACAGTAACATTATAATACGATACTATACTATTGTGCAAGATCACAAACAAAACTATAGATGGCATATTTCAGAAAGTCAGTGATATAAAACAGAAAAGCAGCACATTTGAGAAGCTACTGTTTGGCATATTTCCTTGATAAATTGTATAAATGATCCATTCACTGTCAACATTGCTTTTATTTCCCGTCGCTAGACGGTTAATTAATTTCAAGACAAATAAGTGTGCAGTTTACTGATCATGTTACAACATTTCTGTACAATGAAATCTCTTCAGACTCATTTATATCTGTCTGCCACATGGAGCCATTAAAGCTTTTTTTCTTTATGTCTGTATTGGTGGTTGTCTGTCGTTAATGCCTGACGTGGGTGTTTTTTCTTCAGGTGTTCGGGGGGCGTTGAGGTGATGCAGGTCCCCCCGTTATCCCAGTGGAGGAGCCAGCTAATGACGAGTGGCTTTGGCCGCTGAACACCCCCTCCCTCCATCCCCACCACCACCACCCGCATCCCTCCCCTCGCTCCCTCCATCTCTGATGGCTCTATGGGGCGTCGTCAGCCTCAGCCTCCACTGCTGGGTGTGTTTATGGTCTGCAGTAACAGCAGCAGCAGCAGCAGCAGCAACAGCCAGCCTCCCCAATGACAAGCCTGGGGGCCCCCTGGACTGGCTCCTGTCTGATAAGGGGCCCTTCCACCACTCCCCAGAGTACACTGACTTTGTGGAGAAGAACCGGCAAGGCTTCTCCACCAGATACAAGATATACAGGTAAGTCATGACTGCAGGATGAAGAGGCACTTTACCCTGAATTTACTACTGCTATATCATTGCTTCTATTTATATGTATGACAAATTTCCCAGCAGCCACATAAAACACTCTCCATGGTTGTCCTGAAAAAGATTGGCTGTGTGTAAATAAAGACCACATATGATTATGTTCACATGTTTACATATTTAGATTTGTATAACTCACAAAGTCACAGTGTTTTGTCCTGAACCACGATCTACTCAACCGCTGAGAGCCGTACTGTGAGATTCAACTCATTTAACATGAACAAACAGTTTATTGTTGACTTTAAGCATTAGCAAAAACTTCAGTGGGCATGTGAAGCCACTGCTAACTCTGGTGTCTTCACTCTAGGTACATGAGCTAGCATGCAACTGCTCAGCTGTAGCGATAGTTAAATCATAAATCTACAGTAATGCACAGAAGTGACCCACACCATCTTCGGAAATATGCTAATATGTTTTCTTGCCAAGCATTAGATGAGTTGATTTGATAGCTTAGCTTGGCATAATGACTGGAAACCACAAAACAGATGGCCTAGTTTTGTCCAAAGCTAATAAAATCCACCTATCCACCTGGTCTAAAGCACCATAAATAAACTTATATCTTGTTCTTTCATCCATAATAGAAAAAGACTTGCACACAACCATCCATAGAACAACAACTTCTTATTTAACACTTCAATTTATGCAAAAATGAAATATTTACCATACATACTTCCCAAAAGGTTGAACTATTCCTTTAAATGTAGTAAGCACAGCCATGACTTGGGGAACTTTGAAGCTCCCCAAAGGCTGAGAACCTCCATTATAGCTTTCAGATGCAGTCACTACAATAACAAGCTGTTTTAAAGGTCCCATATTTTATTATGTTATTATTATTTTTAATTTGAGGTGTTGATCCACAAGAAGATAGATTTGTGGTTTTAAGAACCAAAAACCATCACAGTGTAGTTTTACATCTCCTCTCAGGCTTCTCTCTGGAGCTCTATTAACAACAGGTTGGTGAGTCAATCAGAAGAGAGGAGGCTCTGAGCCTCTCTTCTTGATTGACTGTCTGTTTTCTGAGTGATCCAATAAAAATAAAGCAGAAATTCAGGTAAACACTCAGAGAAACCAAATCCTGCGATGTGCAATGGTGGTCCCAGGTGGACTGCACTTAGGACATGGCTCAGAGTGGTGACTGCTTTGTTGTGACATCACAGAGTCACGGAAGTCCTGATGGCTCTTTTTAAGGCTCAGTTTCTGAATACAGGCTATGCGCATTTCTCTGTGGACTGAGAGCTTTGATACTTTCACAGTATTAATATAGAACCCAGACCTGCTTTATAATCAAAGTCTCACTTTATACAATATGGGACCTTTAATTTCATCAGTATTATGTTCATTGTGTGATCCATATGTTGGTTTTGGTGGAAATAATATATATAAAAGAGATGTTTTTCCATTAATTATGCACATACTGTGTATATAAAGCCTATCATTTGAGATGTGTAGTAAGAGAAAAACATAGATTTGGAGAATGTTCTTCATAATTAATGTCTACTTTGAATTTCAACCTCAGGCCACCCCAGAATTTGTACAAATCCTTAACTGACCCTTATTTAAGGGCTCTAGTGAAAATTATATTGCTTGCAATGAAATGTACTGCAGTTAAATCAGGTGAAGTTGAATTAAATGATAAAGATGAGGAAGGAAGGGTAGTGAACTTTCATCTGCCTTTGGTAAATTAACTCGCGAGCGTACATCCGATGTGATATGTTGGTTGAGGAATGGATTATAGTTGAGGACAAGGTCATTGTAAGGACACTTCTCCTAATGTGACAAGGTTATCTGTGCATTACCTGCTTAAGTTTTGATTGTAACATAAAAATTATGTAAGGGGAGAAAATGCAACACAATACGTATGTGATATTAGTGCACACAGTGGACAGTAGTGCCTCATGAAAAACCACATTCATGACTGTTTAGTAGGCAGACTGCATTATTTGGCCTGTGTTGTCATGCAGAAAGGTTTCTCACAGCCAGTGTTTGCAGGATATCTGGCACATGCCTCGACAGAATCATGATGTATTACATGCAGACATGTTGCTCTCACCTGGCTGTACATCACATTCTGCTGCCGTCAAAGCCCTCAGGAAGTCACCTGATCGGGTGGTCAAGTGAAATATGTTGATTAGCACTGGAAAAAAATGATGATTTGTCATGACAGCAACACAGTCTGAGGTATTGGCATGCGACCGAATTAGTGAAGGCTGTGTCATGAATCATATCCATCGTCATTTAGGAGGATGTTGTCCAGGCTCCTGGAAACAGACGGACAGGGTTCCTGACATCTATGGATCGTACAAGGATGCTTTATGGCTTTAGTGATCGGTTGCCGCGTTAGAGCTTTTTAATATTTCCTTCTCTGGCAAAAGGCAGTGGTCCGTTGGAGCTGAGCTGCACGGGCGGCAAGATTAATAGTCTTATCATGTGGCCAAGTGATTAGTGAGCTCTTAGTACTTATTACTCTGCATTATCACAGAATCCCCTGAGAGGCTTCTGTCAGCCGCAAGGTTGTGTTTGAGGCCCTCTAGATTACCACAATGCGGCATTGATTAATAGTGATGATATTAAAAGGAAAAACTAACCTAAAAAGTAAATAGCCTGTAAATCTTCCTAAATTGAATTCACTTGGATTCAGTCCCATTTGATTTCAGAAAAGGAATCTGACGAGGACAGGAAGGGATGCAGCTTCTGTTTTTCTGTTTTGGCAAATAATAGCTCTCATTCAGTGCTGATGCTGGTGAGAGGGAAGGAGGGTGTGTGTGTGTTTGTGTGTGGTGATAATTTTGGGAACAAACACCTGGAGCTGGCTCATAAAAAATTCAGTAGGGTTGTTTTATTAAAGAAAGTGGGCCCACTGAAATATTCTCTCTAGGGGGCCAAACTTCGCAGCCATGCTCCTGCTGTGTGTTTTATTTTCCCGTGACAGACGTCCTTAAACTTCCTAATCAAGCTCTAACCCTCGTGTAGCAAAAGAGGAATTGATGCTCTGTGGCAGTGATTCCCAACTGCCCTGGCTTATAAAAGGCAAAGTGTGTCTCTCTGCCGCTCCACACTGCAGGTTTAAAATACATCTGAGCAGTTGTTTGCTTTTCAGCCTGATTCATTTGAATAATGGCAGCCCAAACAGATTCAGAGTTCAGTGCTGATGACAAAAGTGTGTTTATAACTGTACTTTAGTTTGATGTGTAATATAATTCATAATAAAAATAATATAATTTTCATTTTAACAAAATATGCCAAACCTCTCAATGCAGTGTTTGATGTTGTATTTGCAAAAAAAAAAAAAAAAGTGTGCAAAGCCTAAATAAAAAACAGGGATTTTCTGATTTTTATGAAAAACATAATGTCAAGTAATAAATAAACAAGACTAAAAATCTGATCAAGCAATCAATACCAACTGAATGGTCAACAGTTTCTCATTCTTAATGCTGCAGAAACATCTAGTATTGATCCGTCTGCTTATACAGAGAAAATATTGAGGTTCGATACCCGGCTCTGAAGTGAGAAAGCAGTCAGTGAAACAGTATTTCACCAGAAATTAAATAAGTCTGTATTTGTGTTGCAGAAACCTGTTGTTTCTTCATCATCTTTCCTGTCCTTTCCTGTCCTAAATATCATTTCATAACCTCTGCGATTTGAAGGTGTTTTTTCTGGAAATACTGCTCTGTTGAGCTGCAGCTCCAGTCAACCTGCACGACCTTACCACCTTGTGAATTTCAGTGTTTTCCTTTTTGTTTTTCCAAACCTAAAATTAACATACTGTTGGTTAGAAATGGATTTTCCAGACTTATGCAACATGAACCCGACTGGACCTCTCCAGATTTAACAAATGGTGTCCAGTTGAGTCCAGTCTCCTTGTGTATTTACTGTATAGACCTGATTGATTATCAATTTATGTCTGAGTTTCTTGATAAAAACTGACAACTGAATCATTAGCAAACATATCTAATAGCATACTATGCTTAAGCTACACTGACTTTTAAGATAGCTCCATTGTCACAAAAAACATCCAAATACATAAAGAGCTGTTTGCACTTCATCACTATATTGGAATGGATTGATAAACAATGAATTTTTACAGCTGATGGTCCTGAAACTAATTTGCATATAATGAGCTGATTATGAGATATTAAAAGTGCTGCCAAACTTTTTACATCTGAAGCAAATATTCATAAAAATAGAACCGTTACTTAGATATAATTATAATTTATTCAGCATCTTCTTAAACAGAAATGCACAAAGTTTTGTATGGAAAGTGGATGTGATACAATTTAAAGCCTTGCCATGGAATATCTAAAGGCTGTAAAGTAATAGGGTGCAATCAAGTAAAATTAATAGAATATGACAATAAAATAGCTTTAAAAGTAATTGAAGTTGACCAAAGCTGTGTTTCTGTGGTGAGCTATGAATAGTCACATTTCAAGTCAACATGGTATTTTATATCAAAATGGTTTGGGTAGAAAATCATTGTGAGGTCAGATATGAAATAATTCTCAAAGTCGCTTAAGGTTGAAATGAGATTTAAAGGTCTATATGTCAGTTTTAGCTATTGCTACATTGGAAAAGTTGCAGTGGTGGAAAGCAAAGCCAATTTTAACAATTTTTTTCTTCTATTTCTGTCACTTCTGTTCTTCTACTGAAGTTAGCATGCTAACCAGCTCTCGGCCTGCCCCGACTCATAACATGTCTTCCCTCAGTTCAGCATGACCAACCTCTTCTGTTGAAAACATTATAATGGCTGAAGCTCTTGGTAAGCGACCATTATCACCACCACCACCACCACCACCCCCTCCTGACGGTATAGAAAACGTATACTAAACTTATAAACCTATAAACTTATAATACTTACCGTATAGCACCTTTAAAGCACAAAAACAAGGTCAGGAATATACAATCATTCCTGGTTCATACCTCCACAGCAAGGTTGCTGA